CTCTCCTCAAGCAATATTAAGCATGCAATGGGATGAAGCAAAATCAGCCCTTAAACAGAGATTAATGGATATGGAGAGACAGGTAGATCTCAGTAGATGCCCCAATTTTAGAGCAATAGACATGCATAAATATCGCCCGCTCCCTATGGCCTACCTATCACAGCTTGAAACGTATAATTTTAGGAAAGCCTTTACTCTGGCTAGATGCGAAGCTTTCCCTTCTGCGGTGTTGGAAGGCAGATTTAAGAAAATCCCGAGGGAACAGAGATTCTGCCCTTGTGGCTCTGGCGAGATAGAATCTATCGAGCACATGATGCTCAGGTGTAACAGGCATAATAAGATCCGAGGAAAATATATTACACCTCTCTTAAAAGATATGGCAGGCCAATCAGATTCGGACTACTGTAATCAATTGTTAACCGACCAAAATCGGACTACTACAGAACTGGTAGCGAAATTTTGGGTGGCATGCTATAGCAGACAGACTAACAGCTAAACCCTTAGACCTTGGTCTTACATTGCTGTATTTGCTGTTTAAGATATTTTACTTTTTGTATGTCTGGTATGGCTCTTCGTAGTGCATACCAGTCTTTGAAGTTTTGTACTCAATTTTGTATGGCTTGATGCTGTAACAATAAAGTATGTAGTATTAAAGTTCTGCCCTGAAAATTCTGGAGAGTGAAAACCAGGACTGCAGGATCTTGTCCGTCTTTTTCCATTGCTGTTTGAAAAACTGTGCATGGTTAAATCACGGATAAAAATGTTTACTTTTACTACAGGCCCTTACAAAAAGCACAAGCAGTACACACCATTTTTTCACTGATCAGATTTACATCCTTTCTTTTTTCCACAGAGCTCAATGCAAGGAAAGCAGATGCTCTTGGATTATTCCCCAACCAGACAGAGATGAAACCCAGATCAGTTTACCTTTAAGCCCTCTGCGTCATGTGTCTTTGGCCTACAGCCTGGCAGAGCCTGCATCACATCACCCAATACACAAGGGAAGCCCTCTTCTTCAATGCTTTACCATGCCCATAAATCATCCAAAATGGCACTGCTCTTCAAAGCTATTATTTATTCATATGCAGATTTACTGATCAATTAAGGAAAGCAAAGTCAATTAATTGTCTTAGTTTTAATGGTGCAGTCGCTCTACTGAGAAATACAGCTTTCATTTTGCAAAGAACAGGCCTGGTTATCAGCAGTGCTGGAAAAATGCCTGAATTGCTGGCAGATGGGAAGAATCTAGGACCAGGATTTCCATGATCCATGCTGCTGTGCTCCAACTTTGCAAAAGAAAGCTACAATTGATCTTGATTTCCAGGTTTAAAGTGGTAAAGTTAAGAACAATGACAGGCACCACAGGCAATAGCTGCCCTTTCTCTAAGAATTTATCAAATCCCATTCCAAATGGCCACTCCAGAGGGCATTAAAAACTTTCATTACGAGCTATTCATATTTCTTCACATGCCTTCCATACACTGAAGCAGATTTATAGAGGGAGCTCTTAGGTTCCACTCAACCCAGAATCATCTGTGCAGTTGACTGAGAATGATGGGAGATGCTGCCCCAACCCAAGGCTGAGAAAGACTGCTATACGTACATGTAATTTGCTAACACCAGAGCCTCCACAGAAGAACATGGTCAAGGCAGAACAATTAAGCAATTGAATCCACTCTAAAACATAGGCTTTATTCAAGCGTGACTCCACCCTCTTGCTCACCAGGGAAGCTGTACGAATAGTAGCAAAGTGGTCTCGGTTGCGGCAGTAGGCACGGCGTCGAGCGGCCGATGACGAGCTTTGGGGCTCCATCTCAGGCTGGTACGGGTCATCGTACAAGTTGTCATGGCCCTGAGAGGCATCAAAGACAGGTGTGAGGAATTGTAAGTCTTGATTTAAAAAAAAAAAGCCCTTCCCCTGCATCTCTCTAAAATTAAGATAAGCTTAAAAATTAAGAGACCTTCCAGCTCCACATATGATTTAGGGCAGGGCTGTAAAATGTGTGGCTCTCCAGAGATCATTGGGCCTGCAATTCCCATCAGGTAAAGTGAGCTCAGCCAGTTATGGGAGATGATGGGAATCTGCAGCCAGTAACATCTGGACGACCACATGTTCTCCTCTCCTAATTAAAAGTTTATTCTGCATGTTCTGGGGAAGAGGAAAGGACCCAAAATGTATGAGAGCTTGATGTACAAAAACACGTACAAATTGATGGACAGTAGAAAATAATGTGGTCTGAAGACTTTGGGTTTATAGCAATACACTGGTTAACGTTTTGCTTTCAGCTTCAGCCCTCACAAGAAGATACTGTGGATAGGCTAGAAAGAATTCAAATGATTAATCTAAGGATAAGGGAAGGTATGTTTACCCTAGGCAGAAGATTCAGGGAGGGTACAGGATGCAGAGTAGTTGCTAATATTTTTCAAACAGGCCAAGGAGTACCAGGGAAAAGGGGAAGGGCAATTTAATCAAGCTATTCAGTATAAAATGTAGGCTTGTTGACTTGGAGACAATTGAACTTTTAATTTGTAAACCACCCAGAATTGTGTGTGCACTAACGGTGAGGTATATAAATCAAATGAACGAACGAACGAACGAACGAACGAACGAACGAACGAACGAACGAACGAACGAACGAGGAAAGAAGTGAATGTATCAGTTTTAATTTCCCATCCTAAGATTTAAAACACTTTTAAACAAGGGACAAGGAAAGAAAGGGGTATATTTTAAAAGAAATATGTGTTGGAAATTTAGCTTTTTAGCAAGCTGCCTAGGAAAATTGTCAGAGCTGAAGACCCTTTTGCCCTAGAATATTCTATTGAAGGTGAACAGGTTAGAACTCTGTATCTTTTTAAAGCAGGCACCTTCCCACCCCTATTTAGAAGGAGTGTCCCTTTCTCAGTTTTCCTACTGGGTATCCTGGATTCTCTCTTGATCACTACCACCCCCAAGTTAGGAAGTGCTGAAGGACCTTGGGCAACTTGAGACCTTGCCCAGCCTGCCCTCCAGTAGGGCACTCCAGGAGCCAGGTTCCACACCTCCTCAGATTCAAACCCACAGATCTTCCTTATTACTCCTCTCCCTCCCGCTACCATCATTCAGGTGTTTTAAGTCTTGTTACCGGGAGACGGTGGATGACAGAGCTGTTGGAGGTGACTGTATGCTCGCCTTCCTGCATCATGGCAATCTCAGCCCCATCGTCATCGTCTGAGGCATCTGCCAGGCTGTTGACGCTGCTGCTCTGGCTGCTGGCACTGATGGACATGCTGGGCACAGAATGGCTGCTCTCCATGCTGTTGATGGTGCCTGTTCGGTGAAGAAACTGTTCTACCTCCTAGGACAACCCAAGGCAAAAAGGTAAGAGAAAGCGGCTGCCCCTGGGATGGGAAGTAAAAAAAAAGGTTACTTGGGTTAAAAGCAGGGGAGAAGACAATGAGATGGAAGTCCCAACCTCCTCCTCTTCTGGTGCTTCTGCGTTTGGACCATTTTGTGCCTCCTGGAAGAGGATTTTCTTCATCTTGCGGTATTGCAGGTTGTCAAGTTCCCTCACAGCATCCTTGGTTCTCTGAATCAAGTCCATGATAACCGTTTGGGGGCGTTCCCTCAAAAGGAAGCGATGCTGTGGGGCCACAGAAAGTAATATAGGAGGTTGGGTGAGTAAGTTGATCAGAGAGAGCATGCAAACAAAATTATAGCTCTCTTGAATTTGGGATTGGATTGCCCCTGCTCCATAAATGCCTTGAACCAACTGCACACTATCAGATCCAAATTTAGTTATGCTTAGAACACACCCACTGAAATCAACTGAATCGGTCTACCTAAAGTGTGACTAAATCTAGATCAAAAACGTGGAAGCAACCCAGCCATTGGGAAGATGAATGGAAAGTGACAGCTGAGGACAGAACCAAAAGTGTTCTGATAAATCAGTTACAAAACAGCTGCACTAAATATGATGCCACATAAGTTGGGGTGTTCAACAATGAAAAGATGCATTATTTACACTTTTTCATGGTGAAACAATGTTGAAAAGAGCTCTTTACAAGAGCTGATTTCACACGTGACACCTTACATACTGGTTACTTAGCTATTTTCATATTTAAACAACCCCTGACATATGTTTTCCTTTCAAACATACTATTCCAATTTAAGAAGTTTCCTTCTCCTGCCATTGATTTTAGATTTACAGTCTTACAGATGGGACTGGGCTGTAATTACTACAATCAGAGGTGTAACAGAGGTATTATTTATTTTAGTCATTTATATGTTGTTCTTCCCTTCAAATAAACCCAGAATGCCAAACAAAACCAATACATTTATAGCATACACAATAATAAAATGCTTCATAGATATTAAAAGAGGCAATACAATTAGCAACAACTTAAGACAACTGCATCTTATATTACAATATGATAAATGTTTGCCACATAAGTGGTAGAATAGCACTTCCTAGCATTCCAAAGGCCCGATGAAGCAATTCTGCAGGGATGTCATATTTCACAGGGACTCAGAAAGAGAGTTCCAGAGCATGAGAGCAGCAATACAGAAATACAGAAAGTATTTTTTAATACTTTCAAGACAGATAGCTTTGACAGCTGGCACCATTAGAGGGGCAACTGAAATGAGGGCTCATATGGGTAGAGGCAGTAAGGTATGTGGGTCCCAAGCCATGTAGGACTCTGAAGGCAATAACCAACTCCTGGAACATGCTGACACTGAAGGAAGGGTAAAGGCTGAGTTGGAAGTACCTTGAGCAGCACATCAGAGGTTGGGCGGTCCTGGGGAATCTTCTGCAGGCACGAATCCACAAAGTTCCGGAAATATTCAGACCTAGAAGAAGAAGGGAAGGAGGGAGGGAGGGAGATCAGAGTATGGTCTCCTGGTAACTTTAAATTCTCCATAGCTAAAGCTTCAAATGAACCAGTCTTGGTTTCTGAATTGTCAAAGGGTCTGTCCCTTTTATAAAAATGGGTATTTGGGGCTTTCCTTACCAGTGACTGGACTGAAGCAGTGGAGAATCATTCTGGGCGATGTGGTATAAGGCACTCATAGCATTCATGTTAAAGAGAGGTGGTTTGCGCTCCGCTGGGGATACAGGCACACATGTTAACAAGAGCATTCACCTCACCTCAGAGAACCCTCTTGTCATCTTCCCTCCCCCATCCCTGAATAGTCCTTGGGTTCTCCAAGCTTCTCCAGACAAGGAAACTTTGGGAGCATGCCAGCTCCTTAGCTTTCATCACATACCAAGCTCAATGCAAGTGATGCCGAGTGACCAGACATCCACCTTGCCATCGTACTGTCCCTCATCCATGGCTAGGATCACCTCAGGAGCCATCCTGCAAAAACAGTCCAGTGCAAAGGAATGTGACATCCAGGATTTATACTTATTAAAATCTACATAGGAATGAGGAACACCAAGCCCTCCTGATGTTCTAATCGCCATTCCCATCAAAGACACAGCCACAGGCATTGAATGGTCAATGGAGTGGCAGTTCAACAATATTTGAAATGACATACATTCCCTATCCATGCTCTATGTGCCTTGAGTCTTTCACTGAAGAAGGGCACTTTAGCACTCATTTCAGGGGTACTTTGTTCCCTGTTTTTCAACAACAGCACACAAACCCCCGCCCATGGAACACAGGCACTCCCTTCCCTAATTAGCCAAGGAACAAAAATACATATTGATCCATTCCCTATTCTTCCTCCCACCATATTTTAACTCAAAACACTATTATAACCCACTTCTGTAATGGAAAGGAGATGGGAACCTGATGTCCTCCGGATATTTTTTCACTAAAACTTCCATAAGCCCCAGTCTACAAGAGACTGGGAGAGCTGCTGCACAAAACATTTGGCAGACAATGGATTGCCCACCTCTGGGTCCAGAGAGTCCAGACAGACAAGGTTTACAAACACCCTTCCTGTAAATATTCCTGCATCTCAGTCAGATTACATAGAATTGCTGCCAGCTTACCAGTAAGGAGTGCCAACAAAAGAGTTAGCAGGAGCAATGATGGAGGCCGAGCCAAAGTCCCCCAACTTCACTTGCCCTGGTTCAGTCAACAGGATATTCCCAGCCTTCACATCTCTGGAAAAGACAGAGTTAGAGCTTAAGAGCCGTATCAGAAGCAAAGATGAATTTGGAAAGATGGGCAGCCAGCGAGGAAAACAATGTGAGAACTGGGGAAGGCAGGAGGGTAGAAAGGAATCAGTAGATGTGCCTGTTTGTGGCCTGAGGCAAAGATGAACCGAAGTAGACTGGGATATAAAGTTAGATCTCTGGGTAATTTACAATTGATTAGGAAGGGTTTCCCATTCCCACTTGCTTAATAGCAAGAACAAGATTAATTTTCTTCTACCTTAATGAGGGTGTTGTTATAGAAAAAAATATTGGGATAATCAATGATCTATTTTTGTATGAAACGATTTTGACATCAGACCAGCTGGTCTTGGTAGCAAACTCGTAGGTTGGAATGTGCTCAGAAGCACAATGTTCTTTAGTTCCAAGTGTATGTTTTCTATAGCTACCCCTGGATGGTGAAGCCTGGGGTTATAGATAAAAAAACAAAGACACACAATAATGTGGATGACAAGCCAGAAGCCTGCCCAACCCTGGACTATGAAAGCTAGAAATGGTTAGACTAGACTGCCTGAGGCCCAGAAAACAAGTCCCTGTGAATCATACTGTGGAGGTTTTATTATTCTGTTTGTAGATCATGTAAGAAGCACAGAAATTTCAGACAAGATCGAAATGTACAGAAAGCATGGATACAGAAAATACACTTGAGTCCCATAAAGTTTTATAGTCACAACTTTCCATTTTAAAGCAGAATCTGCCATTTGTCAGGAGCTCTTGGGAAGTAAAATGATAGAGAGAGGGGTAAAATACAGATTATATTGTACAGCGATATCTATGCCACATTCTGTGCTCGAAAAAGCAACATTATAAGTAGCTATCTCTTAAATCTTCATTCAGTGAAGCTTTTCTTTTCCATTTTTGGGGGGAGGAACTGATAATGAATTGTGTCATCCTTTTAGTCATATGTTTATATATTCTGAGTTATGGCGGCCCTTCCAGGGTTTACCGTTCTCTTCTCTTGAAGTGCTCTGGGACCACGTAGCTTGCCCAAGAGCACCAAGGCTGGCTCTTCTCTTACAAGGCACAATGGGAAATCAAACCCCCAACTCCTGGGCTCCACAACCAAGTACTCCATTTCAATGAACTTTCCAGCCAGCTCTCTGCAGTGAAGAACTGCATATTTTGAACTGGCAGCTGGCCATTCTGTCACCCACCCTCTTGTGTATTACATTCAATTCTGCACATAAAGAGTATGGGGGTCAATACAGGGCAGGGCACGAAAGGGCTGTTTAAATTCACCTGTGAATCATGTTGTGCGAATGGAGGTAAGCAAGCCCCTGCAGGGCACCATGTGTTATGGCTGCAATCTCTACTTCCTGCAGTGGCTTCTTGTGCACTAGAAGAGACAGGAGGGAGGACAGAAAGCATGTCACATCAAATTTTAGGCAAAAGGATACCAAAAAAATCTTCTCCAATCACACATGGACCTAGATATTCACCTTCCAACAAGTCTGAGGCCGAGCCGAGGCAGTATTCCATCACCAGCTGAGTAGAAAGGTAGGGATGGAAGTTAACATAGCTTAGGATATTCTTCTGAATCTTATTTATTCAATCCCAAATAAAGCCCCATCCAGAACGCTGCTACCCCCACAACCATGGCATACCCGGGCCTTCCAATTCACTTAAGAATATAAGAGGAGCCCTGCTAAATAAGACCAAAAGGTCCATGTAGTCCAATCTCCTTTCTGCTAGCCAGATGCCTCTAGGAAACCCATACCCTAAGGAAGGCACCAAGACAATAGCATTCCCTGCTCTGCTGCCCCCTCCTCTAGGAAATTTCATTTAGTCATACAGTGCACTTGCACTTGGAGGTTCCATTCACTATCACTGACAAAATTTTGCTCCTTGAATTTGTTTCATCAATTTCTGGTTCAAGTGTAAAAAAACAGCTATGACCATACCATGTGGCAGTTATTACCATGTAGGAATTATATTCCAACTGTTGATCTACAGACTGACATTCTCTCTCACCTCACTCTGACTTGTTCATCTAAGCAAGAAACCCAATCAACCTACAAAGCAACTGCAGGCTCTCCATCCCCAACCATTGCATTCAAAGCCTGCTCTGCTGTACACACTTGCTCAAAACATCCACAATTCTACCAAATAATTCTTATTATCCTTTTTCCTCTACTCTTACCCATGCCGTATGCTCCCGTAGATAACACCCCTTGTACTCAATTGTGTTTGGGTGCCGCAGCTTTTGCAAAAACTTCACCTCCTTGATGATGTCTTGCCATTTCTGGAAGACACAGAAAGTAAGCTTGAACACAAAGAATCTTGTATTCTGGATGCAGGACAGAATTGGGCTTGAAGGCTAGTGGATAAGGGAACTTGGGGGGGGGGGAAGTTGCTTAAAAACCAGGGGCCATCTAGACCAGAGCTACTAGCAGGCGACTAGAAGGTATTCAAAAGCAGGTATGAAGCACAAACCTCATTGGACTGCTTCCCACTGTAAGACATCTTTTTGATGGCCACCACTTCATTGTTGCGTATATCTCGGGCCTAGGAAGGGAACACAAGGAAAGTCAAGGCAGGAAGACAGTGGGGAAAAATAGTTTGGACTCAAAGACAATTAAGTGGTTGGTTTTTGTGCCAGGAAGAGGCAATGCAGATTAAAGGGAGAAATGAAGTCTCTGGTTCATGGTTAACGAGAAGCTTTTAAGAATCAGTGGGAATAACACACGATGTAATATAGGGGAGGTAACAGGGATCTGGTTAGAGGAAACCAAGGGACCATATGGTCCAAGATCCTGTTTCTCACTCTGGCAAGGTGGATGCCTACAGAAATCCCACAAGCAGGACATGAATGAAATCATTCTTTTCTATCACTGCTCCCCGCTATCTGGGGCTTTGAATGGTGCATTCTTTCTGAACTCTGGGATCTAAACATTCACTACAGCAAGCAATTCTTACCAAAGGAAAAATTGGGAGATATGCTATCTGAGTCTAAGCAGCAAATGGCACTGTCTAATTCCCATAGTCTAGGTACACAGTACCCTTATTTTGACACCCATGGCAGAAACTCTCACAAGCTCTTTTCTGTGCTCCTGACAGTAAAAATATTACCATAAAAAACTGAACAACCTAATATTTTGCTGCTTTATCACATGCAATCTGCTGCACGACGTGCTCACCTCACCCGACCTAATGGCAGGGCCCTGACCCACTGATGCTAAAAAGCTAGAACTGATGGGGCTGTGGCAAGTGTTATCCCAGAAAGAAGGCAGTACTTTAAATAAGCTTGGTGGGGCACATGAATTCCCAGCAATACTTCTCCAGAACTCACAAAGTAGACAGCTCCAAAGCTACCATGTCCAATTTCCCGCAGATCAACAAAGAGTTTCTCAGGATCATCCTTGAAGAACAACTCAGCCACCTCAGGATCCTTCAAGCTGCCAGCCCGGGCATTAGACGGCATGGCGGCCGTGAAGGGGGCTAGACTTCACCTTCGCCTTTCTCCTATGGCAAGGAAAGAGAAGTAAGCAAGCTAGCTAGAGTACAGTCATAGTAAAAGTGTGTATAATGCAGTCACCTTGTTGAATCTAAGCAGGTCTAGGCCTGATTACAGCTATGATGGGAGACCATGTAGGAAGCAAAAAAAGATATAAATACAATAAAAAGATAGGCCCACACTTTTCTGAAATCAGTTAGGCTGGAGATTCCTTTCACAGCCACCACATCCAATCTTACCAATAGCCCAATGGTATTTTCTCCAAGGACAGGTGTGCCAATTCTTAGCCACAAAAATGAAAAATGCTCTGGAATGATAACCCCGTTGGAGCCATTTGGAAGAGGAAAGGTAGCATTCTAAACAGATACCAGAAGACAGAATGGTTTTTCCTGCTGATGTTGTGCTCCTGCTGCACAATTTGCAAAATTAATTTGGAAAAAGGAAATATACGGCAGTATGCAACTCCAACTTTTTCTTATCTCCACCATTCTCCTCCTCTTTGTTCTTTCCAAAAACAAAAAGCAAACAAAAAACACACATCATCCTGGACTCCTGATCAGCCTGTTTCCCCTTTCCAACTATAGGACAGTCAGATTCAGAGTACATTTTCTGCAATAGCTTCCTAATTCAAATAGCATCCTCAAGTTGCTTCTTAATTTAGAGATATTCCTTGCTCATCTTCTTCTCTCATATGTGAAACAACTGAATATGGCTGAAACTCATGTCAATACACACCCAACATTTACTTCACATTGGAGGTGCAAGCACAGTGGCCATACCCTCACAAAGAATACAATTTTCATTTTTGTTAAAAGCAGTTAGAAATACAATATAGGGTCATTTTTTAGGTTTAACTCTTTCCATGCTGCCTTCAAATCTTTTATCCAGTCACGGCATCAGTGGGTACCTCTCCCTCTCTACTTAGCTGTTTATTCCAGTGTAAACTGAAAAGTTCTGCTGTGAAGAATTAAAAGAAATTATGGGAAACACCCCAAAGGGTATTTCTGGAATACCTTTACAAAATCTCCCTGAACATGATAACTTTTAGCGGGAGAACTGGACTATGTAGTTCTGTACATAGGATACAAGAAGAGAAGTTGTTTACACCTGCACACTCACAGAGGCACTAAATTCCACCACCCCTCGCTCTGAAGTTCCACCTGCAAACAGTTGCACACCACAATCTGAAACACAGATTGTGCTATAACAGAGAACCAGGACAGAAAAGCAGGACTCCAGGATAAGGTAGAGCTGGTCCACTAGATGTCCCTAGTTCTCCCCAAGTTCAGAGGACTTAACTGTTTTTGGTGAGATTCTTTTTTAAAAGCAAACATCTACCCTGTTTACCCAAAAATAAGACCTAACCTGAAAATAAGCCCTAGTATGATTTTTCAGAATGCTCATAATGTAAGCCCTATCCCAAAAATAAGCCCTAGTCACGTGAAACCCCACCCCCCACTATTGTGCAGCAACCAGAAGAAGATGACATGACTGTATTTGAATAAATGTAGATGTTTGTACATGAAAAAAATAAAACATCCCTTGAAAATAAACCCTAATGCGTTTTTGGAGCAAAAATTAATATAAGACCCTGTCTTATTTTCGGGGAAACACAGTAATCTGTTAAAATATTTTCCATATTTGTCCTTACTCTCCTTTAGTTGCTGGATCTACAGACTCGTATTTTAGTTAGCACAGGTCATTTAAGGGTCAAGAACTGATGAAAAATAACTGACACTAGGCCACTGAAATAGGGTGGGATAGAAATAAAACCAGCAGAAATACATTCAGTCTTACCACAAGACCATTTTTAGAAAAATACAGAGTTAGAGTGAATCCTACTGTAGAAAGCAGTAAAGCCACAGCTTCTTCTCTCACTGAAGGAACAAGAGGTTACATTCCAGAAAGCCCGGACTTAAGGTGTTGGGGTGAGCAGGATGGTTCTATAGAGGAACCACCTATAGGAAAATATGCCTGGCAAAGGCTGGCACAAGCAGGGGCTGCCCCCACGGTCTGTAGCAATGCAATGAACAGGGAGGAAAGGGGCTGCCTGGCTCTTGGCCAGGCACATGGTAGCAGAGCTTGGAAAGGTTCATTTCTCAGACTATCGCTCTCCAGCCAGCATGGGCAACCTGGCAACTGCCTCTGCTGCCCCAAGGAGGCTCTACTTCACAACTGGAGAATCAATGCTTTAGGTGCAAGGAAAAATAATCACACTGTCTTCCCTTTCTAGTCTTAACGTATTACTAATTATTTTTCATCTCTGCTCCCCACAAAATCAAAGACAAAGGCCTGAAAAGTTGACACAAATTAACACAGAGAGTGAAAATCCAGAATTACTTTGAAGACAGCTTGCAACTCTCTTGGCTGTACACTGCCAACTCCCAAATGGGAGCACACTGGAAACATCCCATGGAAATATAGTCACCTTCACCATCTGGAGACACAAGCATTGCAGGCTGCACATCCCACATGGATCCTACAAAAAGTCCCATCAGCTGTATGAACTAGGGGGAGATCTGTGTGGGCTGAAACCCTGGATGTCTGGATTGTGGACTCCTAGGGCCCTTGGAAACCAGAGCCATCTACTCACACCTCCCCTCCACACCTTCAGCCAAGCTAAAGTGTTCTCTCTTTAGATCTGAAACTTCAGGCTGGATCAGATGAGTATCAGAAATCAAAGAGCCACAGATGCTGGTTGTTGTGGGTTTTTCGGGCTCTTTGGCCGTGTTCTGAAGAGCCTGAAAAACCCACAGGGCCCATTAGATCCCGGCTGTGAAAGCCTTCGCGAATACAGCCACAGCCACAGCTGCCATCTTTTGGGGATGCAGCAATGTACCCTTTAGTCTCCTTTGACAAAACAAGCTACTTGGGTCCCTTCTCTTCATCCTCAGGGACAGGCCTTGGTTATCTGGGCTGTCTCCCCTCCTCCACCCAGTCCAATGAACAGAAAAACAAGGAAATTAAGAGCATGCAAGCTGGTTGTGTCAGCATGAGGAAATCCTTGCATTGTTCAGTTGCTTCCCAGGGAACAATCCAAAGGGGTGTGGGGGGGGGGAAGGCAAATCCACAAAGCCAACCTTGGCAGTGGGAATGCTGGCAGAAAATGTCCAGTCGGATTCCGGCGTCACATGTCCATACCATACTACACTGAGGTGTGCAGAACTTAAGACAGCTTCTTGAATTTTGCCTTAACTCTTGAACATGATTCTAAAGGCCACAGAAATTAGATATTTTATATACACACTACATAGGAGTTAACCACCCTAAACTCCAGTTCTTTGAGAAAAATAGGATGTAAATTAAATAACTGAATAAATAATCTTTAGGGGAGAAATTTAAAAGATTTCTATCTTGAAAGAGAAGCCACATTCCTGGAAAAGTGATGCAGTGGACTGATTGCTAGACTATAATTTTGAAGTTTTAGGTCCGAGTCCTCAAAAACAACAATTCCACTATGTAACTTGGGCTAGTTATTCTCTCTTGGCCTAATCTACCTCACAAGGTTGCTGTAAGGGCAAAACTGGGAAAAGGACAGTTGAAATCATGGGGAAAAAGATAAGATATAACTATGATTGAGTTTTTAACTTCTTTTATTATATAGTGTTATATAAAAAAGAAGCAATATAAGAATGCTTCTAATAAATAAAATAAAATAGATCAGGCTTTCACCTAACATGAATTGGCAATAGGGCTGGATGGCACTTCGTCTCTCATCTGCAAACTGAAAATGGAGAATCATGAGAATGTATATGACAGTGATTCCTAAGAGTCTGGCCTTTTTTAACCTCATCAATGAACTGGTTTCTGCTGAAGCTCTAGGGATTTGCTAAGACTAGAGAAGGGATGCTGCATGAAATTGACAATTTATAAATCCTATATCTTGCTGTTGGAATAGTTCATTATTAATACAAAAACCCCACACATCATACATGCCAAAGTAATAAATAAAGTTTGAAAACCTAACATTCAGAAAAGTTAAAATGCTTGTGTGAGGCAAGCAATAAAGATCACCAAGAGGCCGGGTTTCAAGGCTTCTTCCTCATTTACAAAGTACAACTGATCATCACATCAGGGATAGTGAAGGAATTTTCCTCTTAGGACAAAGCAGCTGACAAGCAGGTGTACATTGTTTTCTCTATTACAGAGTTGTAGAATGTGTGGAGCATCAGACATTTTTGGACTGCAGCTCCCATTGGGCACGGTCAATAGTAAAGGACGATAGAAGTCTACAATACAACACCACCTGGTTATCTAGGTATTCTATATCTCTCTTCTGTAGCATGTATTCTGGTTCAGTTGCCAAATTTATCTATAATGATTTGAGAAAAGTATCCCCTGAATGACTCGGGAGTTCTGTCTCTGGCCCTCATATCAGCTTCTGCAACCTTCGCTCATTGAAAACACTTCAATAAGAGTGACACTGGGCAAGGGATCCTTACCAGTTGGATAGGCTGTGAGAAGGCAAGGAATGGGATTACTGATCTTAAGAGGTTTCCCAACCCCACAGTTTTTTTTTCCAAAAGTGCAAATAAATGGAAGGATTCAAAATGGAAAAAACCCCAAAAATGTTTATTTAAAATCTTCTAATTGCTGCTGAATTGTTTGGGTGGTGAATAAGTAAAAACAAAACAAAAACCCTGCACATTCCTAGTAAGGAGCAGTCACATGCCTAGCCATTCAGGTATGGACCTCACATTGAGAAGAATTAGGCAGGACACAGGAACAAACATCCATGACAATATATACACTTAATTTTTTGCCAGCTAATGGCTCTTATACCTTCATATACTAGAAATGCTCCATATATACCTTTTTAAAAAGTGCTGGGGATTGTGTTTCATACAAGCCAAAATGTACTTGCTTTATCTCCTGGAATGCATGTACTGAAAGATGTAAAGTATTTAAGTGAATATACTGTGCATGCTTACCAACAAGATTTTTTACACTGAGTTACAAGAGCACTTTCACCAATTCTGGGGCTGTATTTCACACCTTGAAAACTTTA